CTACCCTAAAATAAATCCACAAAATAAACACCCAGGCTATGCCCAGTGGGAGCTGGGAAGGCAGCCTCCCCATTTCTACCCGGGAATAGTTGCAGGCAGAGTCCTGCCTCTGCTGGCTGAGCATGGTCAACAGGTGATGGTGGCCCCGCATTGCAGGCTCTTGGCCTTGGAAGAACTAAGCCACTAGGCTGCTTATTCTGGCTTCTCTGCCCTGTGAATTAATGGCCACTAGTGCTTGGACCAGAGTAGCTATTGGAGGCCTTTGGAAAAACTCATGAGATTTTTAAACAAGGGAAAAAAAACAAATACCAGTAAAAAATTTACTTCCCCCCCATGTACGGCCTTTTGATATGTAAGAAAGAAATTATAAAACAAAAATGGGTGCTAAATCACTTAATTTGACAGAATCAGATTTTTGTTGTTGTTGTTGTTTTTGAAATATTTGCTTTGTTTATCTCGTGCATTTGTGATGGAGGCAAAATTGGTTTTGGGGTATGCAGTGTGCAAAAAGTCTTAGTTGTGACAGGGTCCTGCAGTACATAAACAGATAATGGGGTATAGCTATATGTCCGTGGTATTAAAATATCATGGGGAGGGGCAAATAAGAAGTATATGTCTGAAGAAGCTAAGAGGGGAGTGATCATGAAAAAAACAAAGGTTGAGAAAACTGTAGCTTCTATGCCATTTTTTTTTTTTCAGGTCTAGCTTAACCAGAACACTTAAAACTGTTACCAAAAATCTTTCAACAACACTTGTGGTCACTTAACCAATGTTCCCATCAGTCTACCGTCTCCCACAGTGGTTAGCCTCTCCAAGCCGCAGTACTAGGTCAGTACTTGCAGCCATGCTGCCTGCTCCTGCTCTGAAAAGCTTATTCTTAGGCACCAAGGTCAGGGAGAGAAGGTGGGGAACACACACACACATAAAACACACACTAAATATGACTCTCAGGATGGCTAAATTTTTCCAGTTTAGGGAAAGGACACAGTGGAATTCTGCATTCTCTAAACTGCTTTTTTAGACCATTTTGTAACCAACTGTAAGGCAGATTTGACAAAATTTACATGAAACCAACACAAAACAGATTTCTTCATAGCTGGTGCTTTTTTTGCTTTTTGGGTTTTTGTTTTTGTTTTGTTTTGTTTTGTTTTTGAGACAGAGTCTCACGCTGTAGACCGGGCTGGAGTGCCATGGCGTGATCTCTAGCTGGTGCTTTTTATTTGATCAACTTTTGAAGTTTTTTTGGAGTTCCATTAGGGTTAAAATCACTAGTATAGAGTCAAATTGGACAACCCCAGCCTTCTTAAACTAATCAATCTAGACATTTGGAGCAGAAAGGGATAAATAGGATCATCTCATTCAGCGACCTCATTTTAGAAGAAACTGAGGCAGAGAGGTGTAGGGTCTGACCTAAGGCCACTTGACAAGACCATGGCTAGAAGCAACCTGGGCTGTTAGCCCCAGGCATTTTGTCTTAGATCCCACTGCTCCAGTTTGGGACATCAAGTTACAGGAAATAGAGTCATTAGTGTCAAAACCCCCCAACAGAACAAGAAATTCCATCTCTCATTCTTGAACATGGGGATTAAAGATGTCATTTGAGCATCTCATCCCTCTGCTGGGCGATTTTTTAGAGAAGAGCAGCGCTTGAGCCAGCACATGACGTCACTGGCCTGGAAGCTTAATTTTATTTCAGTGATTTGGTTTTTGTGAATAGATCACCTTCCAGTTAAGAGACACGCTTTACTCACACTATGGGTTCTGCTCAGTTTCCTCTCAACAGCTTCCCTCTTCTTGAAGAGCAGTATAATAATAACTGATAATTGAGGTAAATCCATGTCGATTATTTAAAAAGCAAAAAACCTCATTCTTACCAACACTGAAGTTTCAGCTTTCTTCCTCCTTAACCTACACAGCTGCAGAAAATGAAGGCTGAAGAGTCAAAGGCTGTAAGCAGCTCCAAAGTGAGAAAGGCTTGCAGTGCGTTAAAGAAACATCTCAAAACAATCCCAAACTGTAACATTTCTAATTCTTGAATTCTGATGAACATAAAGAGTTCTGTTTGCAAAACTTTAAACCTACATCAGGTTGACCCCACACAGTGTTGGAACATTGCAGCATAATTTCCCAGCTCAAATAAGTTCAGTTACAAGAGCACCTTTGGGTCGTCCTCCCCTCCTCCCAAAAAGCAAATTTCCATTAAGCAAATGATTAATGTAGTAAAGGAAATAACTTCAATATTGAGGGCATATCATCATGTTTAACTAGCTTTATTCTCCTGCTCCTTCTCCTCCCCCATTTGAAATATTAAAACTGGCTGGTAATTCACCTATGTGGTTAATGGTAAGATCTGCTTTTTCTTGAGAGCAGACCTCAGACCTCACCTATGTAAAAGGGGCAAGTGAGCCTATTCAAATGCTAACCCCGGTTGAGCTGGGTAGACAAAGGGCCAGCTGGGAGACTAGTGAGTTGGGAATGCTTGGGGAACTTGCTAGAAATGGCTCTGGAAAAGGAAGGCAGGTGAATACCAGTTTCTCGGGCAGAAAGAAGGTTTGCTAAGTCTATGTAGCAAAATCCTGTCTTCTCAGGGAGGGTCATGAGTGCTCTCCTGGGGGGTTGGTATATCTCTCCGTTGCTTTGTATGGTCTGCAGTGGCTTTTCTACCCTTGAATCAGGGTGTACAGAGGGAAGCTGGGGGAGGGGAATTGAGCCGGGGAGAGTGTGTGCCGGTAGGTAACAGGTTTTCACAATTGGGCTGTAATGCAGATAGCGAGGCAGTTTGTGGAAGACTGTCTGAAAGACGGTGTGTGTTCCTAGATTGCCCCTCCTGGCTACATGTGAACGTGGTACATTGCTTACAGTTCAGGAAACCTCCCTGTGTTGGGCTTGCGTTTAAAAAACAGCAAGATGGGTGTGAGGTATGGGCTCGACACGGAGGGCTTTTAAAAAACTTTATTCATCCTGCAACAAGGCAACACGCTCATTTCTCTAATGAATAAACCTAGCTTTGTGGGAAAACGGGTCTCCCAGACTACCCAGTCTGAAGATAGCGCCCACACTTGAAAGGCACACCAAAAAATTCAACACAACCCCTGGTTTCTCTTGCTTGTCCCTAGAAACCTTTTGCTTGGTGAACTCAGGCTGAGACATTACCAGAGGAAAAACTGAACGCTTAATGTCACAGAAAGCAACACACCATCATTGTTTACATTAAGTAAGAATTTCGATTTATGGGCAAGCCAAAAGCAGGGCACCCCTAGCCCTTCCGCAGCCTCCAAACTTCCGAGACTAACATTGCTGCCGCAGAAAACCACTTGCAAATAAACTGGCTTATTCGTATTTATTACGGAAGACCACAAAGGCATCTAACCACAGTTTGCGCTGCAGACCAGCAGAACTAAGTCTTGGGCGCCGCGACGCCTTTCCTACGGAATAGGTCCTGGAAGGAAGACCATTTAAGGTATTTTCCTTCTATCATCATCCTTTTCTTAGGAGTTAAAAACCTGACCATCATTCATTTCAAGCCCTCAAAACGCTTTACTTTTCCTCTAAATCATTGTCATCCGAATAATTCAAGCCGGCGCAAAATGACACACGCACACCAGAAAAAAAAATTTCCAAGTCGGATGAGATTTTTTAAAGACATTTCACTTATCAGTCTTTCCCCCCAGGACTGGCGAGGAGAGCACGCCTTCGCTTCCGAAGGTGCGTTACCAGATTGCGGCCGTTTTTGTGCTGGGTCACCAGAGCAGATTCCCCTCCAGGTTACAGATTCTAAACTTAACTCCACCCGAGCTGAAAATGGCCGGAGCACGCCGCCTGCCCTCCCCAAGGCTGCCGAAGCCGCCGGCCCCTGCCTCCTTTTCGACTGATCGTCCAAGGACTGGCGCCGGATCGAACACCTTTCCCCAGCTCTGCGGGTGCCGCGCTCTTTGGAAACGAATTGTAAGTTATCCTGATGTTAGACGCGACCCCCCTCTCCAGCCTGTCCCTTGTTGCGCTTTACCTTTCCGCTTGCTACCATCTTGAGGGCCTCCAGAGGTCCTGCGCAAACAGCCCAGGACGTCTCCTGCTAAGCTGCATGCAGCCTGGCCACCTGACCAGCTGCTCCAAAAGCCTGGCAATACCCCGACGTGACCATGCCTGTGCGTCCAACCCTGGTAGCCCGTAGGGCCACCCCCAGGGGTCCCCTTACGTCCCCTACCTTTCCCCCAAGTACTTCCCCCCAACTGCCCGCCGCTGGGAGAGGTCATCTCCGGCGCGCGCGGGCAGGTGCGCACGCTGTTTGAGGCGGTCTCTGTCCCGGCAAGCGCCGGGAGGCGGGCTGTGGCGGCCAAGACTGGCGCGCGGCAGCGGGGGGCACTGGCGCGGAGGTCCCGCGGCTTCACTGGCAGCTCTGGGACCTGGGCTCCCGGCTCTGAGCTGCTTAGGCGCCGCGCGCGCATGACTTCCCTCCCGGTGGAGGTGGTCGGTCTCCAGAGTTCTCGCCCAATCCCATTCTGATTACTTTCCACACATTGCAGCAGTCTCTCTACAGCGCGGCTGCTCTCACAACGTGAAAGTTGGCGCGCACCTCCGAACCACATTTTGGGCACCTGAGAAGGCCAACTTGTTTGAGACTAGTCTTTCTAGGAGGAAGAAAGGCGCGCAAAACAAGTGACTTACCAATGCCGTTTGGGTGTGCAGCTCCAAATCGGGGGTGCGTTCGGGATTCAGTCGCGCAGCCGGGGCACCAGCTCCGAGAGACCTCAGGTTGTCTCCAGCGGGACGCACGGTGTGCGCCCCGCCGTCCAACAAACCTTTGGCCACCATGGCGCCCCTGGCATCCTGGAAAGTTTGGGGGAGCCCTCGCCGCCTCACCCTGATCCCCGGTCCTGGGCTGGCCAACTGAGCCTCCTCTCTTCCGACTCACCCCTGACCTGCCTTTCCTTCTCACCTCCTTTCCGCCCGCCGCTCCCACACCGCCCTCAGGCTCCCCAGTTTAGCGGTGGGCAACTAACCTGAATCCATGAAAACAAGGAGAATCTGGACGGCGTCCTCCATTAGTGACGCCGGATGGGGATGGGTCCCTTTTTGGAAGGGGACTCCGGGGACGCGTCACGGCGGGTGGGCTTCTTAGGCTTGCAGCGACGCCGCTGCTTCTCCTTCTTGGGCTCCTCAGACTCTTCGGGGGCCCTTGGATCTTTGTCCTCGGGCTTGAGCTCCTCCCCCTCGCTGGGGCTCTGGGGCTCCTGAGTGCTGGGCGGCGCGCGACTTGGGGAGGCGTCGGGGCTTCGCAACTTGAGAGCGTGCAGGCGCTGGGTGAGAGACTGGCTGTCGGTGAGGGACTGGCCGAAGGTGGAGTGCTTGGGCACCACCGGGCCGCGCTCGTCTTCCGGCTCGGTCTCGGGCTCAGTGGTGGGGGCGGTCTCAGGCTCGGTCTCGAAGTCGGTCTCGGACTCGATTTCGGACTCGGTCTCGCTCTCGGTCTCGTAGTCGAACTCTTCCTCGTACTCTAGGCACTCGGGAAGGGACAGCTCAAGGTCTGCCTCCTCGTGCTCGTAGTCAGATTCCGATTCGGGGGACTCAGGGAATACCTGGGCGCCGGAGCGGTGGTGGGCGTTAAGGAAGCTCCGGCGCTGCTGGGCAGCCGCGCGCTGCTGGGCACGGGCGTTGGAGGTGGCAAGGGCGCGGAGGAGCGCGATGGAGCAGGAGAGCCAGAGGAGCGCGGTGGCTGCCCGGCGGCCTATGGGCGGGCACAGGTCGTTGTAATTATGGCGAGCTCGGCGCCACTGATGAGCCCGGGACCTCCGATCCATCCTCTTAGGCGCACACCAAGAAGCCGACCTGCCCTCTGGCTCTGCAGAGAGCGGCTCCAAAGCGCATTGGCTGCTGGAGCCGGGAAAGGTACACCCTATGAGGTGAGAAGCTGGCCCGGAGGTCCCAGCCTCACCTCCTTGTGAGGAGAAAAAGGGAAGCACCTACCTTCCTGACCACTTAAGAACTTTCTACAGCTCCGCGCCTTGCTTGCCTCTCTGAGCAAGAAGAAGGGATGGGAAAAGAGGGGAAAGGTCTGTCTCCTCCTGGGCTCCTCTCGCTGAGTCTTAGGTTCCGCAGCCTAAGACTCGAGAGAGGTGCTTCCGCCGGTCCTCTTCCCTGGGAGAGGACCGAGGAGACTGAGGCGAGGAGGGACGGGCAGTGAGGTTCTGCGAAGTTGCGCGCCCGGACTTCTGCCGGGCATGTGCAGTAAGGAGGTGGGGGCCGCCTCCCCGCGAGCTGCGCGGTGGCGCCGAGCCTGTGGCGCAGACCCTAGTGGGCCGGCAGGTGGCAGGAGGGAACCTTGTTTGAAAGGATTTGGGCGAAGCAATGGGCGGGGGGCCTGGCGGGTGGCAAGGAGCAAGCGGCAAGCTAGCCCAGGTCCAGTACTTGGGCAGGTGGGCGCCGGTTTCTGTGGGGTCGTGCCCCTCCCTGTTTCCCCAGTTATTGGTGAAATAAACACAGCCTGGGTGTAGCTAAAAACCCAGAACCCCAAATAGCAAATATTCAGGAGAAAGAGGGTCTGTACACGAGTATTAAGCCCCCAGTATTTTCCAATGGCTTAATAGTTTGAGGATGGTAACTTCAGGTAGTCATTAATCATGAAACTACCTTTAGCAGATCTGTTGTAGTGACTGTAATTAGAGAAGTTTCCAAAAAATACGTGCTCAAACAGTCTGAATTGGCTGATTACCTCATCTTCTTCAACAAGGGCCCCCATGGTTGAGGTAGTAGTTTGCAAGTCTGCAAGCCCATCTGAGGACTGCCCTGAGCTCGACTGAGCTGAGAAGGTGGTGCTGGAACTCAGACTGGAGCTGAGAGCATGAGCAAAGGGAAGCGTTTCCTGCGTTCTCAGTACACACAACCGCTTCTCTCCAGCGGGGCAGTTCAGTGTGACACGGAATCCTCACTGGAGGCCCCTTACAGCTATTTCCTAGATAGGCTTTTAACAAAGGTAACTCTTTGAGCAGTACTCATTGGGTGCCTTGCATGTGCCAAGCTGTGTTTTAGGTGCTGAAGGTAGAGTAGTGAACAACAACAAGAAAAGTATTGTATTAAGGAAAGGATATTTTGGATTAATTTGCTGTTAATCAGGAGATTGAATCAGTCCGAATCCCTCTGTACCCACCAACATTGTTTAATCCAGTTTGAATTCCACGTGAGAAAATGATTGGCTCAGAGCTAGGGGGCGGCCAGACACCACTAGATCGTGTTGTTGAACTCTGCAAGGCTGTAGACTTGGAGTCAATAGTGCTGCTGTTTCTTGGCCCTAGAAAATCAAATGACAGCCTACAGGAGGAGATCCCTGCAGTGGGAGCTAACCTGGCTGCTGCTTTTGGGGTGTGCGTGTCCTCAGTCTGGCCCTCCATGATGATTATGGAGAGCCCTTTTGGCCATAGTGACAAGTCCAAAGGCGAAACAACTCAGAGCAAAGCCATCATCCTGGAATCCATGGGAGTATCAGGAAGGTTGTTTCACTTAGGACACATGTCACAGGTTGTAGTCCTTTCCTCCTTCTTGAGTCAGTATGGGGAATCTTCAAAAAAGAGGCTCCACCACTGGGTGGCCCACCAGGCCCTCCTGGTACTGGTACTTCTGCCTGGTGTGTGAAGAGTCAGTCAGGTACCCACAGCCATTCTCACCATGATGGAACTTAACCTCACACCTTCAACACCACACCCGCATTAAAGCCACCAAGTGCAGAGTTCATACCCCAGTGAGAGACCAGCAACTGCTTTGGATGTGTTGAGGTTTTCCTTTCTGCATCTTGGCTGTATCTATAGCTTGTATCTTGCACTCTGTGTTAGTTTGTAGCCTTAAAATAGTGATTGGACTGGGCCTGGTGCCTCTCACCTATAATCCCAGCACTTTGGGAGCCTGAGGCAGTTGGATCACTTGAGGCCAGGAATTTGAGAGCAGCCTGACCAACGTGGTGAAACCCTGTCTCTACTAAAAATGCGAAAATTAGCCAGGCGTGTTGGCGCACGCCTGTAGTTCCAGCTACTCGGGTGGCTGAGCCACAAGAATTGCTTGAACCTGGGAGGTTGGTCTAATAAAGTGGGATTGATTTGTCAAACCCCACAAAAGGACAAATGTCTATGTTCCCGTTGTGCCCTGCTCTACCACTTTTCCTGAGGAACTGCAAGGGTTTTATTATCACAGGTGCCTGCATGGCTGTGTGGATATTATCATGGGACACTCTACAGGGGCATTTAGAGCTGTATATGTCAAATCCTGATCTCTGCCTCTCGGTCCTGACTAATGGGGCACGTTTCTAGAGGGTCTGCCTACACTGACCCACCCACTTTATTTCTTCTAATTAGCACAGCTCCACTGACAGCATATGAAACAAAGATATTATTCAAGCTGATTTCAGGGCACATTGGGGGAAATATCAGGAATATATGGGTGCTAGTAAATGTCCTTTGAATGGAAACTAATGTCAGCTGTCAGCAACAAGGTAGATTATGATTCTTCAGTGTACATAAGAAAGTACTTCATTCTTCAGATGGAGTGCTTTATGCCTATAAAGGAGATGGCAGCCCAGAGCTGATTCACTAATATAGATACACCGAGATTGCCTGCATTATTAAAAAATGTGCATTACATAATACATACTTTTGGACTAGATTCTGCATTAGCAATGCGCTTTCTTTGCAAGATGCATTTTAATCAGCAAACAAACATTTAACAAAACACTGCATTTTTGAGCCCCAGTCCTGTTTAGTCACAAATACATCTCAGTGTACATTCACTACAGGCTCTGGGAGGAAGGAGCGGGGGACTGCACTGAAATGCTATTCCATCTCACACTTAGGGCCGAGGTTGAGCAAATGCAGCCGTACAGAAGATGCTCTTTAAAATGCATTACGTGCGTGACTTTAAAAAGTGCTTGCTGCAGAGTGAATTTCAGAAAGGAGCAAGTGGGTGATGAACGACCTCTGTTGTTACCGGGCTAAGGAACAAGGGGCTCTCTCTGTCTGCCGGTAAAGTGTCGGCATATATCACTTCCGGGACTCTGCTGGAGGGAGGCTCCTAAACTAGTTGGACAGGAAAGCCCTGTTCCCAGCTCACTACAGTATCATACAGTAAGCTTCTAATTTGGATAAATTGTGAAGAATATTGTCTTTAGCTCCCTAAAGGATTTTCATGTGGAAGAGGCCTTAAGATTTATTGTATGTGGCTGTGGAGGGCAAAATTAGAACCCATTGGTGGTAGTTGTAGCAGAAAGCCTTCAGCGTAACCCAAAGAAGAATCTGACGGGGAGTGGGCTGTCAGGAAGCTGGCGCTTTGTCGGAAGCAATGTGAAGTCAAAGGACAGGTGACCACACACTGGAGATGGTTTTCCATGGTGTGCGTGAGGGAGTGGGGTTGGAACTTGGTGCCCACCACAGTCTTATCAGGTTAGCCTCTGATTCCATCGAAGGCCTTTGTAGGTTGTGGGAGAAGGGTTTGGGGGCTCTACCAATGGACACAATCCTTCCCCCCTGCTTTTTACTATTTTGGAAGCATTGAAAGTGCAAGTGGCTCAGTGACAGGAAGGAATGTTGGGGTGGCAGTTTTAGGACAGGGCAAACAGATGTGTGTGATGGACCCAGTGGCCTGTGGAGGAGCTTTCCTCACCAAGGCAGGGCGTGGAGGCTCTTTGCTCCACAACTCACCACTTGTTGAAGCAAAGAAATTAGTCAAGTCCATCAGTTGATTACATTGGTCCTCTTTGCCTCCTCTCCTGGGGCTGTCTCGGAAATTACAAATGAAATTGGCTATTTCGCAATCATGAATTGAGCCACTTCTATGATCAAGACACTATTCCAGGCATTGTGCGGAGATCGAAGTAATTGAGGATGAGCAATTCCTGCCATCCAACAACACACACATTGGTGTGAAGTGCCTCCAAATATTAAAACCAGATTGCTGATGGGTATAGAGTAATACATTCCAGCTCAGATAGACAGGGAGGGAAGTTGAGTAACTGGTTAGAATCAGAGGTACAGTTCATCTGGTGGTTTTCAGAAAGAGATGAGTCTTTACCTAGTCTGACTTTGAGATTTTCTTTTGATTTTTAAAAGCCCATGAGAATTGCTTTCAATCCACCTGTTTGTAACCATGTATCTATCGTGTGCAAAGCCATGTGCTAGTGGCCCTGGGGGAGACAGATGAATCATGGGTTCTCAGAAGGCTTGCAGGCTATTGTCAGGGGTCCCATAGACATCAACGCATTTTCCAAGACGAAACTCAAGATAATGGATCAGTTCTGCTCTGCCTGGTGAGCGGGTATAATCACTCTTGAAGATATTTTTTGGACAATCATTGCAAAGGACTATTTTTGGAGATGAAGAGCTTTTCACACTTTCCTTTGGATAGAAATGAATTCAGGGAGTTTGAAGTGCTCCCCACCCCTCACTGTGGCAATCAGCCAGTAAGGCTCAAACCCACTGAGAATTTGGTATTGGCCCCTCCCGCCTGTTCCCCATAGGGGACCAAGGTACAATGCCAAAGCATTTGTCTCAGTTCTCTAGGGTGCTATTTTGCTGTTATTCAGACTGCACTGATATCAATTGGCTCTCACCAGTAGAAATGGTGAAAACCTCAAGCTCCTGATTTTGAGATTTGGGGTTAATGCCATCTAGAGCTAAAAGCAAACAATAGAGGGAAATAATCACCTTTTTGACATGGCTGGTTTCTGTCCAGGCCATTGTTGGGATTACAATACTGTATTTGTGCTATTCATTTTGAAAGGGAATAGGATCAGAAAGGAGCCTTCATTTTCTGCATAGAGATTGCTTGGAGCTGTCTTCCCAGGAGCTCCCTTACTTTCTCTTCACTTCGTGCTCTGTTGAGCTTCTCCTACTGATACAGTGCCTATCTCCCTCTCTCTCCCTCTGCCACAGGAGGAGCAATTTCTAGACTCCTGATCCAACGGGAAACATCTAGAAGCCCCCTTGCTCAGGCAAAGCATCAGTACCCAAGAGGGGTACAGGCCCTCTTGGACGTGGCATCTCATTTCTCTGCCATGGCCCTGGAGCTTGGCATTCTTGTGTTCCCCGGTTCAGCCCCTGGACTCTGACACCCTGCCTTGCTTCGTCCTGAGCTCCGACTGTCTGCCCAGCCGGACTTACACTGAGCTTGTCTGGTTCTTTCCTGCAGCCAGCTGAGACATCATTGTCCCAGGATACCCCCAGTTCACGTGGTTCTGGCCCCAG